CAAGTAAAAGCAAAACAAAAAAAAGACAAAAATAATTATTTTTTTTTTATTTTTGTCTAGTGTATGGTTTTGAATATTGATAGTCAATATACAGTTATTGGTGGTGATCGAGGTTTTGTACAAATCATTCGAACACATGATTTACAACCTGTTTATGCTTATCCACAATGTGATGCTAGTATTCGTTCATTAGCAATAACTCATGATCAAAAGTAAAAATAAATGATTATTATATAATAACTAATTAAAGAGTTCTTTTGTTTTTTTTTCTCACTATCATATTTTATACAAATTTTTATGTATGCAGAAAAATATATATGTTTTTTTCTTTGTTTAATTTAGATATATCATGGCAGGTCTTTCTACAGGTTGTTTCATTGTATTTAATGTTCTTAATCAACCTCGACCTGATTCTGGAACGCCTACTACAAATGTTTAATAAAAAATGTTTTCTGTTTGTTTTTGTTTTTCGTAGTGTAATTGTTTTTTTGACTATTAATATTTTAACACATTTTTTTTTCCTCTGCGCTTTCATTTGAGGCTTTTTTTCTTATAGACATTCCAAATTCCTTGCGTTTATATGGTTCTTTATAAAAGAAAAGATCCATGGTTTCATTTTTGTTTTGAATAGGTGAGAGCGGCTGCTACATCAAGTAGTATTTTTTTTTTTGTTTTTGTGTTTGATTTGTTGGGTGGGAAATAAGAAAGCCCCAGTGATATTCATTTTGTTGTTGGTGTTTATCGTATTTATTTATTTGTCTGTGCATTTTTCTTTTTACTTATGCTTATAAACGCGGAGTTCACCGCTTTCCTTTCTTTGTTCTTATGTTTCTTAAGCTTCAAAAAAAAAAATAAAGCAATTCAATAACTATTCATATACTTCGCACATAAAATAAAGAATTATTTGCAATAATCAAATAGTTATCTGTATAATTGGTTTTAGATTATTCCGGTAAATTGACAAGTTAAAGAATGACAGCAGCAACTGGTAAATGAATTTATAAATAGTAAATTATTGAAAAGCTTTGTATCTACAGAGAAGTAATGAACCAATCCTTTTGCAGCAGCAGATCTTCCCCTAACCGAGAACTCGGCTTTTGGTTTAAGAGTTATGAGATACGTTATATTAGCAAGTTTTTTGTATAGAACAGAAGGTGAGATTGTTCCTTACAAAATTATATCAGAATAAAAAGTTTGAGAACCAATTTGCAGGCTTAAACAAAACCGGTTCATAACTCTTAAATAATGTTGTTAAATTACTTTTCAATAATTTGTTTGTAAATCCAATGATAAATTCAAAGAAGAAGCTATAAAATATATGCTTCTATAAAGGTGACCAAAAGAAACAATATGTGCTTGTACCTGGTGGTGCTGGTTTTATTGGTAGTCATTGTGTTATTGAATTGATTACAGCTGGTTATGCACCAATTATAGTAGATAATGAACATAATTCATCAGCAGGTGAAATTAAAAAAATATCAAATAAAAAATTTGATTCTATTTAGAAAATTTTTTTTGTTTTAGGATGTTTAAAACGTGTTGAACAAATTACTGGATGTCAAATAATTAATTATAAAATTGATTGTCTTGATCTTGAAAATTTACCAAATATTTTTAAAAAATATTTAATTTATGCAATAATTAATTGTGCTGCACTTAAATCAGTTGGTGAATCAGTACAAAAACCAATTTTATATTATAAAAATAATGTTGGTTGTTTACTTAATTTACTTACAGTAATTGTTTTCTAATTATTAAATAAATATATTTATTTGAATATTATTTAGTGTATGGAAGAATTTAATGTTAAAAATTTTCTTTTTTCATCATCAGCTACTGTCTATGGTACACCAAAATATTTACCACTTGATGAAAAACATCCATGTATTGGTGATACTATTACTAATCCATATGGTAAAAGTAAATATATATGTGAACATATTCTTAAAGATACAATAGTTGCTCATCCTGTTCCTATTTTAAAATTAAAATAATCTTTTTTTATTGTTGTTAATTTATTTAGGAATGGAATATCATTCTTTTACGTTATTTTAATCCTGTTGGTGCTCATAAAACAGGTTTAATTCGTGAAGATCCTATTGGTAAACCAAATAATCTTATGCCATATATTGCA